AACATTACAGTACATTTACAAAATTAAAGGTAAAGAAAAGGACATAGGACAAAGTAAAGAAGATATGAACAAATACATCACGTACAGCTAAAAAGGAGAGGTAATATGTTATTGGCTTTGTCAAATAAAACCAACTTAATGGAAGATCCCACAGAATTTTTTTAAAGATCCCAGTTCCTGGGCAATCCACATACTTCCAATCACTTGTCTATATAAATGCAACCTTATCTCCACTCTGCCATCCCTACTCTACTCTATCCTCCTTTCCTCTCCTTTCAATTACTACTAGCATCATAGGATCAGACATGTGAAGTAGAGAAGGACCTCAGAGGCCATGTAGTCCAACCCTTTCATAATGCACATGAGGAGCTAAAGTCCAGGAAATGAAATAACTCATCCAAGGCCACACAGGTTGTAAACATCAGAAGCGGAATCTGAAGCCAGGTCATATAGGAGCAGAGGTTTAGAGATGGAAGGAAATTCAGAGGCCATTTAGTCAAACCTTTTCATGTTACAGGAAGGGAAACTGAGACCCAGTGAAACAGTGACTTGCTTGAAGTCACAGATGTGTGAGCCAATAATTTTTTTTTAAAATAGATTTTATTAACTTGTGGAATGAGTTCTTTAGAACAGATATCTCATACAATTATAGAAATTCAGATCTCAGAGGGATCTCAGATTTCCTTTGGGAGAAACAAGAATGTTGGTGAATTTACCTTGTATGATGAATAAAACAACTCTCATGTCTCTGACACACACACTTTTTACAATTCTTCCCAAGTAATTAGACTGAATATCAGCTAGTATTTCTCAGGGAAAAATAATAATAAATTCATAAATTAGCATCATATTTACAGGTAGCCTGTCAAGTTGAACACTTTGGATGCCATGCAATATTTTGTCCTTGTGAAGGTCAATAATGCTTATTAGCAAATGAAAATGTATTTGGATCCATAAGCAGGAATTTTATACTGCTTAAATTTCTCATCAGAGAGCCAGTCTGAGCCAAACTTTTATTCCATGTGCTGAAATCTCCCATTAAAGAATAATGCCTTAAAAATATTATCCAATAATTTATCTGAACTTTTAAATCCCTGACATACCTATACATTTCACAAAACATGCTCTCTCTCCTCACTCAAAGGCTTTGCCTCTACCCCAACCCCAATGTTGTCCATTCTCTCTGGCACAATGGTCCTAATCTTTCAAATAAAAAATGAGTGAGAAAATGAAGAAGGTCACAGGTCAATGAAGACTACCAAGAAACAGACTGAAAGACCACAACTTCCTGCCTGGGAAGCAATGTTATAGAAGTGCTAATTGTAGCCCAATTGATATATTTTCAAAGGTAGGTATATTTCCCTGCTGAAGTCATTAGGTCTTTTTTTTTTTTAAAGTGAAAGATATGTCACTAGGTAGTGATCATGAGATTAAATTGTTATCCTCATGAGTTTCTGATTTATCCCTGTGTGAAACTCTCAGATATTTATAGGAAATATGGAACAGAGATTTATCACTGGAAGATACTTTAGAGTCTACTGAATTTAAAGTCTTTATTTTACATTTGAGGAAACTGAGGTTCAAAGAGGTAAAAGTAATTTACTTGTCCAAGGACAGATATACAGATATAGATATATAGATATAGATACATACACACATATATATATACACATATATATGTATATATGTATGTGTTTGTGTATGTTTATATACATATACATGTATGTGTATATATACATACACACACACACACACACGTGTGTATGCATGTGTGTATGTACGTATCAAGTAGCAGAGCTGAGATTTCTATCCAGGTCTTCTCTCTCTGGATCCAAATCCAGTGCTTTTTCCACCACACTCCACTGAGGTCCCCTTCACAATATCCCACAGAGAAAGCAGATTAAGTGTTCATTTAACGTCAAGGAGACTAAGAGATGGACGGCGGATAAAGTCGATGTGAAAACTAAAGTATCTGGATTCCGGTTTGTTTTGCTTCAGAGTTTTCAAAATATAAAATAAGATTATGAAGATTAGGTTCCACTTCTGACACACACTGGCTGTGTAACCCTGGATGAGTCATTTAATTTTTCTGTGATCTAGGCAAATCTTTAAATTGTCAAGAAGATGCCAATGCACATTAACTAAGAATTTCTTCAACAGGTATTCCAGCTGTATTACCAATGAAATCACAGGCTCCATCCAAAAAAAAATTTGGTAATTTATAGGACCTGATATAATTACTTAGCATAGACTAAATAACAGTTGACACTTGATGAGTCTCAAAGAATTCTGATTTCATGCATCAAATAACTGGGGGAGGGATGGGAGTAGGGGAAGAGAGGTCATGCTGTTGACATTTGTTTTGTTTTAAATAATGAACGGTGATTTTTAAAAGGTCAGCTAGGATTGCCAGGACTGGATTCAGGAAAACTCATCTTTCTAAATTCCAGTCCTGCCTCAGACACTTCCTAGCTGTGTGACCCTGGACACGTCACTTAACCCTGTTTGCCTCAGTTCCTCATCCGTAAAATGATCTGGAAAAAGAATTGGCAAACCACTCCAGTATCTTTGCCAAAACCCCAAATGGGATCACAAAAAGTCAGACATGACTAAACAACAATTTTTTAAAAACCTAACTTACAAGACAGTTGCTGATTTTACCTTCTATTTCAAGAGTGGTGGCCACCAACTGGGCTCCCAAGAACATAAACAGCATCAAAATCAACAAACACTTATGAATGCTTGTTGACTTACTCCTGATTGGCAGAAACAGCATGGTATAATGGAAAGGAACAGGGAGCATGGGCCCTTGTCCTGATTCTGAAATGAGGTAATCATGAGTAAGCAACATGCCTTCTCTGAACCTCATGCTCTTCAGGAGTAAAATGAGGGGGTTCAGTTTGATGCTTTTTAAGAGCACTTTGATCTCCAGCATTCCTTTCTGTTCTGTCCCTTCCCAATTCATTCCATGGCAGCCCAGCCCTCTGTGTTCTGCCCTATTCTCAGCCTGGCCCAGGGCATAGGACACTGGACTTGAAGTCAAGAATATCTGGGTTCAGTTTCCACCACAGACACTAACTAGTTGTATGAGCCTAGATGAGTAACTCAACTTCCCTGTGCCTGAGTTTTCTACATCTTTAAAATGAAAGGGTTGGCCTCGATGGCCTCTGAGGTCCCTTAAAATCTAGGATTCTGTTCTGTTCCATTCTATCCTACCCTGTTCTTGAGAAAGTATTTGCAGATAATGTTCAATTTTTATGTAGTAATGAGAAACATATCAATGCTGCCTTTTAGCTTCTATTGCTAGATCTGGTGGAATTCTATTGCTAGATCTTCTGAAGAGGGGAGTAGTAAACTTTACATCTGGTCTTTGTCCTCTGTTTCTTCCCTCCCCGTCTCTCCCCCATCCAAGTCTGGAGAAATGCTCCAATGTCATGACTCTCTCGAAGACCCGCCTCTGTAAATTCCATCTCCAGGAAGCTGTTCTCAGCTATGAACACAAGTCCCACATACTGAGCAGTACACATCCATTCAGCAGATGCCACACTGAGAATGTTAAAGGTACCAAGAACTCCGCTGCTCATTTTGACCAAAGCAGCCTTGAAAACAGAGACTTGTCCTGAAATTGGCTGATAGCAACTGCTGGTTCTGTACATCTAAGGCGATGCTGAACGATTCTGATTAGAATCAAAATCCCTCCCCTCTGTCCTCCACCCACCCTTGGATCTGAGGAGATCCATTCAGAAGGAGTGAGGTAGAGCATACCATCAATTCAATGTGCCGGGTCCATCTGTTGGCAGCAGCAAGATGCAAACAGCTTTGTAAGTTCTATTTTCAATGAAATATCACAGAACAGCTTGTCCCAATGATATTTCTAAAGCCTGCCTGCAAGCCGCCTACTGGGAAACCCAACAAAGAAGAGAAGGGGGAGAGCAAGGAATACAAGAGTCAAAAGACAGAGAAAGGAGAGGAGAACAAAACCAGGGAAAGGAAAACAGCAGAGAAAGCTAAGGTTGGGGAGAGATTCAAGATTATACACCCCAATTGTATATGTATAAATATATATATATACACACATGTATATATATATATATATGTATATACATATATATATATGTATATACATACATATAGATATAGATATAGATATAGATATAGATATAGATATAGATAGATATAGATATAGATATAGATATAGATATAGATATAGATATAGATATAGATATAGATATAGATATAGATATAGATAATATAAGAGGACATAGATTTAGGCACAAATTTAGAGCTGGGAACTTTAGTGTCATTGATTAAGGAATTCCTTAGAGAAAGAAGCCCTCAAATTAGAGAGCAAATCAAGAAAGATACAGAAATAAAGGCACAAGAAATATTGGAGGAAAAAGAAATAATAATTAAAATACTGGAGAGAATTTCTTTTTCTTTCCTTTACTTTTTTTTCCTTTTGGTCCAAATCTGTGATTTCATTGGTATTCGGAATTTCCAGGGTGGAAACTCCCTCAATCAATGCAGATCTACAAAGGCTCAACATTCACCTGGGGCATTAAGACATAAAATGACTTGTCCAGATCCATATAGTTCCTATATATAAGAGGCAACAGTTGAACTCATGTCCTGACTCTGAGGCTGGTTCTCTATGCACTATACCAATTACTACTTACCTTCATAATTAGTAATTTTAAAATATTGTGACAAAATTTTATAAAAAGTTTCCCACCCCTTTTAACATAATAATAAGCCCCTTTCCTCCCAATTACCAAGGGAGGATTTCAAAATGAAGCCTTGGAACTGCTGAGATTCGAGTTTTCTCACCTATAAAGTTAGTGGGATGGATTATATGAACCTCTAAGGTGTAAGTTCTTATGATCTTATGGTCTTTTTCTTTCATAGGATATTGACTTGAATACTCAACAGTAATGGAGGTTGACCCTATATTATCTATGGGGCCTGGGCACAGACTCGGGTGCTTATGTCTGGGCACTTACCTGAGGTCGGATCACTTTGACAATATTTTTGAGGGCAGTGTCAGGAGATGGAGGCGAGCAATCAGGTGTGGGGCCTGTTGAGCTGTTTCTATGGTTACCACTTCCTGGAGTCGTAATTGCTACCTGAGATGCATTATCTGTGAACAAAAATAGAATGGCCGTGAACTTAATTACTTCACTTACTTTCTGACATCCGGGATGATTTCAAGGATGGCAATTCAGATTTCAGTTGTGCACTGGTCATCATTGAAGCCACAAAATAAGGGATGTTTGAACTCCTGAAGGGGGGGGGGAGCTTCATCAATATCATTGCTAGATGTTTTGTTCCAATTTTAGTTGGTAAATGTCTATCCCCTTATGGTCTAGTTCTGAGATCCTAAGGGAAGTCAGAGCTGAATCATGATCCTCTCATTCAAAATAGCTACAAATACCCCAGGGCTGACATGGACAATAGAACCTAATCGCCTAAAAGATGTAGACCCACTGATTAAGGAATGGTTCAACAAATTCTAGTATGTGAATACAATGGAATATTACATAAGGAATGAAGAATAAGATAATCTCAGAGAGCCCTGGGGAGTATTTTATGAATCAACAAAGAGCAAAGTAAGCAGTTCTAGAAAATTTATTCACACCATGCTATCACCAATGTAAACATAAAAAATAACCAAAATAACAACGAAAACACAACACTGAACACCATAAAATCATGACTGTCTGGCTTCTGGAGAAGACTGGAGAAAATGTACTTCTTTCCCTTCTTTGCAGAAAGGGGGGTGAGGGGGATGACTAGGGGGTAGGCTATCACGTGTATTGTCATACACCATTGATGTGCTGGTTGCATTTTTTTCTTATTTTTAAATGTTCATTCCAAGACAGGGATGGCTGAGTAGGGGAGGTAGGAGGGCCTTATTTACTAACAAATAACATGTTAAAATCAAATTATCAAAAAATGTGCCACGCAGCTAGGGCATAGTGGCTAGAGAACCAGTAAGAGCTAGGTTTAAGTCCAGTCTCTGCTACTCACCAGTCATAGAATACTGGCAAGTCCCTTAATGACCATCTTATCTGCCATCTTTAAGTCTATAAGTGGAAAAAAAAAATACAAGATGCTACATTGGGAAAAGGAGCTTCTCACCCAGGGGTATCTATGTCAATCACAGACCTAGTTTCTATCCCCTATCACTAAAATACTTTTTAAAAGATACACCAATCTTCTTTTGCTTCATTGATTTGTGACAGGTTTTAATAAGAGTTAGCTCTTCATTTCTCAGATGACTTTTTAAAAGCCAGACTTGTGAATTCCATCTGTGTAGGGAATTCACAGAGTAGAAACTCCTTCTACCAGGTCATATCAACTGCTTCCTCTGACTCGTGTTCTTAGATACTGTTGGATCACTGAGTCAAGAAGAGCCTGATATAATAACCATAGCTCGCTTTCAGATAGTAACTTAAGGATTACCAAGAACCATCCTCACAGCAACCCTGAAAGGTAGTGAGTACAAGTATTATTATTATTATCAATAATAATAATAATTTACATTTACAGAGGAGCAGTAGAGGTTCAGAGAAGAAGCAACTTGTCCAGGAGCATATAGCTAATGACTCTCAATAAAGGGTGGTGACATGGTAAATGAGATGATCTCTGGATCTGGGAGCATACTAAGAGAGTTCAAAGCTCAACTCCGTCACTACTTGGTTGCCCTTGGCCAACTCTGTCACTCTTGGGGCCACAGGTCCCCAATCTATAAAGCAAGGTATTTTAAGACGCCATCTAAGGTCCCTTCCAACTCTACCTGCCCTTGTAGGAGGGCATGTAATACATATCTTTGGATGCCGTGATCAGCACTTTTACCATTGCATCCTAATGTGTAGATTATAGGATTTGTGTGAACTCACCTAACATTCCTGATGCCACATCATTTTGGTAAGATCACACAGTCCCTCAAATATAAGAGGCAACTCAGTGCTGAAGTGGAAGGAATGCTAGATCTGGAGTCTGGAAGACTTAAATTCAAATCCCACTTCAGATGCTAGTTCAATCAGTTAATCTCTGCCTCAGTATCCTTATTATAAAGAAGGAATAACAAAACCTACCTCCCCAAGTTGTGATAATCCAATAAGACATTTGTTAAACACTTTGCCAACCTTAAAGTACCATATAAATATGATTATTTATTGTTATTTAAGTCTTTTCAAAGGGTTTTTTTAAGTTTCCTTGAGCAACAAGAAACAACAAAAATGAATGAGCATCTACAAAAAATGATTGATAATCATAGCAGGCTGTGGTGGAATGTAGATAACCATTGAGAACATTCCTATCATCCGAGATAACATGTCTTATTATGGTCAAAGAACTAAACTTACTCCCAACATCAAGGCAACCTTGGACTTACAACAATGACAGCTACAGTTTCCAAAACTATCTCCTCACAGCAACCCTGTAATGTAGGCACCACAAGTATTATTGTCCCCATTTTACAGATGAGAGCCCTGAAGCTCAGAGAGGTTGTGATTTGTCCATAGTAACACAGAGAGCAAATATCAGAGTTAATCTGCTGGCTCTAAGTCCCATTTTCTTTTCATTCCACCTAACTGACTCTACTTATGCTTGGTAGATCATGCAACTATTGACTGGCCAAATCAGCGGGATGTTATGTATTATTCATTTAAGTTATATTAAAGCCTCAGCACGCAAACCATTCAAATTTGGAAGGTTGACAACACTTCAGAGAGGACAGAAAATATTCTCTAAATATCTGCTTCTCAATTATGGAGTAGTTAGAAATTCTTTAGCTAAAATTCTACAGGGATGCTTCTTGGCATCTTATGATCGAGGATGTTCAAAACCTGAATTTACATCTGTGTTTAATTAATTATTAATAATTATCTCTTTTGAAAAGGAAAACAATGAGTGACCACCCGTTAGGGAATGGTTAAACAACCTGCAGCATCATGGAGTAGAAAGAGTATAGACTTTTGAATCAAAGGATCTGGGTTCAAATCCTAATTCTGCCAATTACCACTAGTGTACCCTCAGACATGCCGTTTCATCCCTTTGGGTGTCATCTTCCTCATCAGGGAAATTAGAAGGTTGGGATAAATGGCCTCTGAGGCCAACTCCATCACTATACCCAGGGTCATAAGATCTGACCACTTACTTCCTTTTAGTGGAGAAACAGGGGCAGATAGCGGCAGGATGCTGCATTTATCATTAGACACGTTTACCATACTGATTGGCTTTGCTTAACTGTCTTTGTTAAAAGGAAAAACTCAGTAGATTGAGGGTAATTGTAGGGGAAAGGGGTATATATGGAAATGATTGTGATATAACAAAAAATAAATCAATAAAACTTTAAATAAATAAAAATAACTAGCTGGTTAAGACAATGAGAGTATTTGGTGTAATGATGATCAAGTTTGTATGCCCAAAGAATTTCAAAGCCATATAATCCAGCCTCCTGAACCATATATGATTCCCTTCTCCAAAGTCTGTGACAGTCAACCAGGCTCTGTTTGAATACCTTCAGTGACCCAAAACTTATTACCTCCCAAGGCTTTCCATTCCATTTTGGCCAGTCCTCATCTTTAGCAATTTCTTCCATATATCAAGCTGAAATGTGCCTCTCCGTGACTTTCTTCCCTTCATCTTAGTAGTGACCTCTGAGACTGAACAGAATAAGGCTAATCCCTCTTCTGTATGACAGCCTGTCAAATGTCTGAAGTCAACGATAACTTTCAACTCTAAGGGGGCAGGAGGAGGCATCTGACTTTATTCTGCTCTGCAGCCACAGCCTGTACCTGAACTCAAATCCACTATTTTGTTTTTTTTGTTTGTTTGTTTGTTTTTGTTTTTGGCCAGGAAATTGGGTTAAGTGACTTGCCCAGGGTCACACAGCTAGTCAGTGTTATGTGTCTGAGACTAGATTTGAACTCAGGTCCTCCTGAATCCAGGGCCAGTGCTCTATCCACTGCGCAACCTAGCTGCCCCCAAATCCACTATTTTGTAAACAGGAATACTGGTTATAGTTAGGATCTTTTGATAACATAGGGATGAATTTCCATCAACCCAACTAAGGAAAAAACCAAAAACCTCATATTATTGGAATCATAAGGCATACATGCAAAAGAGTTATAATAGTTGGCTTTTTTTGCAAAACATATTTCCATGTCAGTCATGTTGTGAAAGAAAACACAGACAAATGACTTCAAGAAAAATAAGGAAAGTAAAGAAAAAGTATGGTTCAATCTGCATTCAGGCTCCATCAATTCTTTCTCTGGGGAAGGATAGCCCTTTCTATCATAAGTCCTTCAGAGTTGTCTTAGACCATTGTATTGCTGAGAATAATAGCTTGCATCTGTAAATCACTTAAGGCTTTGCAAAGTACTTTACACACATTATCTCATCTGATCCTGACAACAGCCCTGTGAGGCAGGTGCTATTATTATCCCCATTTTACAGATGAGGATACTGGAGCAAAGAGAGATTAAGTCACTTGTCCAGAGTCACATAGCTGATGTGTCTAAGGCAGAATCTGAACTCAAATCTTGTTGGCCTCAAGTAGAACATTCTGCTCACTGTACCATTGGCTAAATAGTAATACATGCAGTATACCATACCAATGGATGGTGCAGATGATAATTGCTATGGGAGTTTGGAGGGAGGAAAGATCACTAAGCACTAGAGCTGGCTACTAGAGGGAAAGGTATTTGAGCTGTGCCTTGAAGGACGAGTAAAATTGGGATAGGTAGAAGCAAGAGGTCATTCCAGATGGGAAAGGTATTATAAACAAAAGTGGGAAAAGAAGCTGATATATTCCAAGGGCATTATGTAAACTTATGTGTGGAGACTTTAGTTGGAAAGAAGTGGCTAATAATTTGTGGCTTAATTGTGAATGCAATGGAATACAATCAGCACATCTGAGTGGTTTAATAAAAGAAAGGAAAACTCAGTGATTTCATCATTATATTGAACTCCTAGTCTTGAAACTCCACATCCATTATTTATGACATCATACCCTTAGAGGGCCATTTGAAGCCATCTCGGCCAACGAGACCATTTGACAGATGAGGAAGCTGAGTCCCAGAGAAGAGATGATGATGACTTGTACAAGGTCACACAGAGACTAAGCAGAGG